CCTGATTTTCTGCCTTCTAATAAAAGCTCTGAATATTTATTTCTGGAATTAAATACTCATAAGAAGTTACTTAGTTGAGAAATGCATGAGACTGGTAATGTTACCAAATGAAATGAGAGATCCACTTAGGAGGTTTCATTGGGTTTGCGGTTAAGGAAAAGTAGAATCATGTCACTCTCTGGCCTGTGGGACACATGAGTCTTAGTGGCTCTCCTGTGTGTGTTGAGTGCTTCTGTTTACTAGTGCCTTGCTAAAGGAAAACGCAAAAGAATAAGCAACTACAGCTTCCAGCATTTAAGAGGTTAAGAAACACCATAACCTAGTGTCTGCTTAAGTCCCCTTAAAGCAGCTGGTTGACTGTAGATTTTTCCAAGACACGTGATATAAAAGGGTTGGAGGAAAAGCTGGAATTCAAATTTAGCCACTTAAAAAAAAAATACCATTGACTCTGTATGCTGGAAATTTCAGGGATTTCTGAGTTATAGTCATATATCCAGAGGAAGTCTTTATCCTGTCCTGGGGGGAAAGTGTTCAAAAACTGTATCTGTTGTATTGGGCAATTTTACATGACATTCAGCTTCAGGCTTTTTGGTCATTGGATTGACTTTTTATCTCTGCTAAGAAATAAAAATAAGTTGGGTTCCTGTTAGCCTGCGACATTCTAGAACATTTTTATATATGCACAGATTTACTTTCATCCAAGTGGGACAATTTCAATTTCCTTCAAAGGCGTGAGTTTTATTATTGGCACTAAAAGGCATTCTAATCTCCATTATGTTCAGGTGAATAAAAGCCTTGAAGTAATTCTGTGCTTTGGAGGGCTGATACTATTTTCTTCATTCGTGCTACTGATTTTAGAAAAGCTAGCACATCCCTCTGAAATAGCACTTATAGCATAAGCCAGTTTGAATGTAATCATCTGTGATTTAATTAGGTTATTTATTTTCATCCACTGTGTAGGTGACTTGGAAAGACTCATTCCAGCAGATACTAGATTTCAGAAAGAGACAGATCCCAAATCCATGTGGCCTCTATGCCATGCCGGAGACATGCACTTGCTCAGCATGGACCCCAAATTCCAGAATGACCTGGTCTCCAAGAATGGCATTGATGTGTATCCTTACCCAAGCCCCCTTCATGCGGTGGCTTTACAAAGTCCTCTTTTCTCCCTAGTGGGGACATCCTCAGAAGCAGACCTCCAGGCCCTTCCCAGCAAACCCGTGCCTAGTGCAACAGGTCCCAGCTTGATTAGGGCTAGGCCAACCACTGAGGCCAAGCCAGGGGGTTACATCAAAAAATTACTGCAGCTGACGAGATGCAAAGGGAACAATCAGGCTGATGCCAGTGAGTGGGTTTCAACAAAGAGCCAGCCAGCCACAATGCACCAGAGACTCATTATAACCCCCAGCGCCGGTGGAGTGAAAATTAACAGCAGCAATAGCCAGCTGGAAAAACAAGTGAGTTCTCTGGAAAGTAACAAAGCTGAAGGGAAGCTGCAGAGAGAGGTGCCGGAGGGGGAATGTGCCAAGCAGCAGGAGACCATGCACTGTGTGAATGAAGAACAGCCGTCTACTCAGCCTGACA